GGCCTTTGTTGTTCCCAAACGTTATTTTATCAAAGTTAACTACACACTTCCTTGGTAATAAGTAGCACAAACCTAATATGCATTGGTCTTCAATGCCAGCCATGTATACTTTGTCTGCCCTTTATGCCCATGAGCTCAATAGTTACCCACAACCTTGCATGATGTCCTGTCACACCACAGAGCTTCTGTGTGGCTTCTGGTACTCCTTTTTGATCTAGAACCTTGATACTCACAAGGGTTTGCTGAGATGCAGAATCTAGGACAATTGTAATTTTCTACCATCCCATCAGATTGTAGATGAAGTGGTGTTGTCCTGGTCTTTTGTATGCCAAACAACTTGCAGCATTCATGGAACACATATGATTCAAAGTTATGATCTGAATGCAGTTTGTATACCATACCAAACCTGAAGAAGAAATCATTAATAGCCAAAGCTACAGTTGTAGATTCCTGATTTGGTATTGCATATGCCTCAGGCCACTTGGAAAAATAATCCATCACCACACAAATGTACTTGTTTCCAGCACGAGTTTGGGGCAATGGACCAGCAATGTCAATGGCTACTCTTTCCATTGGTGCACCAACTTGATATAACTTCATTGGAGCACGTCCCTTATGTTTGGGTCCCCCTTTTAGCACATATACTGAAGGTCCTGCACCATTCTTCCACATCTTGCCTCATACCTATCCAGTGAAATCTCTGCTGTAGGTGACTTAATGTCTTCTTAACTCCAATTTGTACTCCTGTTAAAATATCATGGGATTGATGCAGCACATCTTCCCGTAACTTTCTCGGTATAACTGTTTGCCAGGTCATCACTTTCCTATCTCCGGACAAGAATACCATCTTAAAACTTCAACTGGTCCCATTGTGCCCAATCGTTCTTTGTCACAGGGCTTAAGCTAGACACCTTCTCCCAAGCAGGGTGCAAAACACTTGCTTGTAGAAAATCAATTATTGGCTTCAAATCTTGGCCTTTCTCCTGTTCTGCTTTAATATCTATACTTGGTTCTACTTCACCATCATCAACTCCTTCAGTCACTTTGACTTCAGCTTGATGGCACCTGGTTAGTTCAACCTCTCTTTTGCAGCAACGTCTGCAGTCATTTTTGCTGGGTCTTTCGCTCATTCCGTCAGTATTTCCATGAGATTTAACAGATGCAGCAACACTTACTGGAATTTGGCCTTTGTCGTTCCCAAACGTCATTTTATCGAAGTTAACTACACACTTTCTCGGTAGTAAGTAGTCCAACCCTAGTATGCATTATTCTTCAATGTCAGCCAAGTATACTTCGTGTCTGTCCTTTATGCCAATGAGCTCAATAGTTACCCACACTGGTCCTCATAACCTTGCATAATGTCCTGTCACACAACAGAGCTTCTGTGTGGCTTCTGGTACTCCTTTGTGATCTAGCGCCTTGATACTCACAAGGGTTTGCTGAGATGCAGAATCTATGACAAAGTTGCACCTTTGGCTATCCAGCTTTCCTGTCACATAGACACTATGTGTGCCTGACATTTTACACTTAGCTGTTGGGACTTTCACAATGGGGGTTGGTGGGCATCCCTGAACACCAACAACTACTGGTTTCATGAAGCTGACTTATTGGTAGTATTCTTCTTATACTGGCTCTTCATATGTCCTTGCTCTCCACAGTTCCAACAACC